TTGGTATATTTGATTTCCAGTGGTTGCAAGATGGCACATAGAATCAGCACTCTTAGAACCAGAAGGAACTTTGGAGATTATCTTGTCCAACTTCTTATTTTCCTGATAAAGAAACCGAGTCCCAGGTTGTCAAATGACTTTTCCAACATTAAATGATCAGTGATAGAATGGATACTAATAATCAGGTCTTAACAACTCTTGCCATTACGATACATTGAATATATGTATCCTTTCTTCTTTATGTTCTACTTGTGAACCAGAAGCACTTTAGTTAAAAGTACATGGATTTTCGGAGTCTAGCTGATATGGATTTTATCTCAGTTTTCCTGCTTACTGCCAGTGTGATCCTACACATGTTGTGCCTCCTCTTTGAGCCTTGATTTCCTCATTTGGGTAATGGAGACAGTAATTTCTCACCTACAGGGTTGCTATGAGGATTAGAAGTAACATGTGAAAAGCACATTGCAAAGAGTAAATGTTCAACATAAAATAGCCATTAGTATATAGGGTTTTTTTTTCTGCCTTCCAGAAAAACACAAAAACCCACAGTGGAGGTGGCATTGTAAACAAATGATTATAATACAAATAAGAAATGGTACACACACACGCGCGCGCGCATACAACACATGCACACATACACACACACCACACACACATACACACATACACATGCATCGATTCTATGGGAACACGACGAGGAAGGAACTTATTCTGATTGAGACAGCTAAGGTACCACTTCAGAGAAGTTTAATTTACATTGCGTCTTGAAAGATGAGTAGGAGTTCCCTGGGTAGAGAAGGGGTTGTGGGTTTTCAGGTGGGGAATTCAAGTGCAGAAATGTGAAACAGCACTGCATGTTCTGGGGAAGGGAAAATCTATTGCACTGCTGTGTTTGTGGGAAATGAGGGCCATTGGACTGGAAAGGGAGAAGGGGATAGAGTTTTCATGCTATGTTAGAGAATTTGGACTTCGGACTTTACTCTCTGGGTGTTGGAGAAACCAGTGTGTGTGTGTGTGTGTGTGTGTGTGTGTGTGTGTGTGTGTGTCTGTGTGTGTGTCTGTGTGTGTCTGTGTGTGTCTGTGTGTGTTTGTGTGTGCATACTTTTAAAAACAGCTTTATTGAGGTGTAATCTATGTATCATAAAATTCATCAATTTTATTTGTATCACTCACTGATTTTTAGTAAATGTATGGAGTTTTGCAACCATCAGTCAACACTGCCAAATCTTAAAACATTCCATTACCCTGAAAAATCCTTTGTGCCTTTTTGCAGTTAATCTCTCTTCCCACCTTCCAGCCCCAGGCAAACACAAATCTGCTTTCCATCTCTATAGATTTACCTTTTCTGAACATTTCATATAAATAAAATTATGCAATATGGATTCTTTCTCTTGGCAGAATATTTTTTAAGATCATGTTGCAGTAGGTGTTAGTTTTGTTGCTAAATTGTAGTGCATTTATGGATATGCCTCATTTTGTTTATCCATGCAATGGTTGACAGACATTAGATGGTTTCCACTTTTTGGCTATTATGAATCATGTTGTTATGAGCATTTGTTTACCAATCTCTGTGTGACATTGTGTTTTCATTTCTCTTGAGCAGAAACCAAGGAGTGGAATTGTTCGACTGTATGTAAATTTATGTTTAACTGTTTTCCAAAGTGATCGTATCATTTTATTCTGTGGATTTTTAGGCAGAAGAAAGATTTGGTTTTCCATTCTTGCTAAACTGAAAAACAAACTCAGAAGTTGAATGAGAAATCAATTTCATTTTAAGAGAATTTATAACTGTAGGTACTTATTTTGAGTTTATAAAATGTTTTATTGAACCAAATTTCAAAAAGAACTCTTAAAAACAGCAACCACCTGGCTAAATGAAGTTACTACAGTTGCTTCCAGATGTGTCTTTCTTCTTGTGGACTAAGACAGAGAAATATTCATGATCATCTATTTTTTATTAGTACCAAGTCATTTTCCTACCCTTCAGCTAATGAGCTTCCTCTGCTTGATTTGGGATGAGCTAAGCCTTGGAGAGTTTATTGTGTGGCAACTACTTCACTCAGGGAATTGTTTCATGAACTTAAAATCATCCATAATGTCCTCTCAAAATGAGAATTCAGAAATAGTTCTCTAGGAAAGAGATTTTGATCTAGGAATTGATTCAGAGCTATTGGGGGAAATACTGTTGCCAAAAGCAGTTTGTTCAAACCTGGCTTTTCAACAATAAATGTATTTCAAGTGGGGAGGGAATTATCATTACTCCTGAAAACCAGCATAATGCTCCGGCCCAGGCTATCCTGTTTCAGAGGAGAGTGGCTAACATGTTCAAAATTTTCCACTCAGAAGATGATATTTTGTGAAGTATATTTCATAGTGTTCTGTATTACATGGTCCCTGCATTAAAAACAAACAAACCAAAATAAACCGGAACTAATTGTTCAGCTGAATGCTGGTCTTTTATGGGAAGCCTCTAGCTCTCCCACAGAGAGAGGGAGAGAGGCTGATGACTGAAGAGATCATTTCAAGTAAGATAAGCAAGCAATTATTTAGATTCGTCTTTGGAATACAGTATGTATTTTATTGGAGGGATAAAGAAAGAATGGTAGAAAAGGTGGATGTGAGATTTGTTAGGAGGTTACTATCATAATTTTGGGTGAGGCTAATCTTAAAATTAGTTTTTGTTCTCTAAGCAATAAATAGTTGAAACAACTTCTCCCCCACAAAGAGGAAATCATCCTGGAATTAAAAATGTTGTTTGAGAAGCCCATCAAGTGGATAAGCAATAAATGGATTGCTGAGACATGACTATATTTGACTGGAGACAGTAGTCCCCCTCCTGAGGAGAAAAAAACAAAACAAAACAAAAAAACCCAGAGACAAAGTCAATGTATTAAGGCTAGAAATAAATGACATTAGAAAATTTAAAAAGGACTTTTTTCCAGCTCATAACTAGTGATACAGTGAAATTAGAGTGCCTGTTAATTTAGCAGTAGGCTTCTGCCAATATTGAGAGTCTAGGCTTGCCTTAAGAAAAGTTGAGGATCCATCAGTATGATTCTTCTGGGATCCAGGCGTGTTCTCTTGACAAAAATTCCCTCCTTCCTCCCAATGTTCCTGAAATCCCCTAGGCAAGAAGGTTTTTATTCTTGTCTCTGGCGACTTATATGATATTAACAGTCTCTTTTAGACCATGGCTTTGAACAGTACTGGGCCCCAACTCCAGTTTCTTGTTCAAAAGGGGAAGTGAATGTGCTGAGCTGCATCTCAGCACATCAGCAGTTACCTTCCCCAGCACATGGTCTTTTCACAGACCTGTCATGAGAAGCCAAGGCCTGCTCTGCATTGGTCCATTTGATCCAAGGGCACATTAAAAGTGGAAGTCTAATTTTGGGGGGCTAGACTGATCTTGCCTCATGAGACAAAGCTTAGCAGTAACAGTACCAACCAAGACACACTGTGGTCAGGTCTTACTATGATTATTGCTTTTGCTTTTCCCCAAGAGGTTATTAACCTGACATCTGTTTTCCTTTCTAATTCTCCCATGAAATCATTATATACAGAATGGTAAGAAATCCCTCTTATGCTCCAGTTATAGTTCCCTCTTGAAGCTGGGCAAGTTAATCCATGATGGAGAGGTGAGTGTAAACCATTGTTTTTATCAGAAGGAGCTTAGGCATGCATTTGGCCAAAGGCCTGGAGGTGATGGATTTCATAACTTGAACTCCATTATTTTCATTCATTTCCAATTTCCTGAGATACTGGAATGTGGTGAATATTTATAATTATCTAGAACTTGACAGTCTACAAATATTTCACATGCATAATCTCATTCTTCCTCTTTTCTGAGGCAGTTGGAGATAAAAGCAGGATTAGGGACTGTCACAGGAAGCAACTTCTGGGATCAGTTCAAATATTTATTTTCCTGAGTGCAAGAGACACAGGTATTGTAGTACGCATGTGGAGGAAAATGCCAGTGCAGTTGTCTTTATTCTGACTTCAGGATATTTTATAATTTGGATGTCCGTGACATTACTTTCAAAATAATTTATGATGAGGTGTTTTGCATCATGAAAACAGTGTGATACTTAGCTGATTTAAAATGTATTAGTTTATGCCTATATAATCTATTCAAGAGGTGGTTGGGCTGGGGTAGCGCAAAGACAGCTCAGGTAAGGTCAGATTTTTTTTACAGTGTTTGGCATCATTTCTGACATTCCATTTTAATGATTTCCAAAGCAAAGATAACAAAGTATGGTATGCATTCAGAATTTCTCTCCTCCCATGTATCAGGGCAGATACCACTAATCAGTCATGGCATCCTTCTTTGAGACAGCAAGCAGCCTAAGAATCCTCAATTCTGCATTTCTGGTGGCTATGACCAATCAATAGATATTATCTCACAAGTTAAAACTTCTTTCCTTGACTTCTCTGATCCAAAAGGTAGTTCGATCCTTCTATACATTTCTCCCTCAGCAAATGGAAATGAATTATTTTTTAAAAAGTACTGTACTACGGACCAGTACTTCCCAAACTTTAGTATGCAAACCAGTCACTTAGGGATCTTACAAAAATGCAGATTCTGATTTAGTAGGTCTGGGAAGGTGTCCAGAATTCTGCATTTCTTTTTTTTTTTTTTTTTTAAGATTTTATTTATCTATTTGACAGAGACAGAGACAGCAAGAGAGGGAACAGAAGCAGGGGGAGTGGGAGAGGGAGAAGCAGGCCTCCCGCCGAGCAGGGAGCCCGATGTGGGGCTCAATCCCAGGACCCTGGGATCATGACCTGAGCCCTACGACTGAGCCACCCAGGTGCACCAAGAACTCTGCATTTCAAATAAGGTCAAGGTTGTAGGTAATGTTGGTGCTACTGATCTGTGGACCACACTTTGAGTAGCAGGGTTCTACTAGCCCATTTTCTGGAGACAAAATGTGAGCTAGAAAACTATGTACAAGGCAACTCAACAACCAGGAAAAAAGAATAAAAACAAGGCAAGTGTTCCATTAGAAGCTGAAATTTTATTATAGGATAATAGTACATAAAGCACATCTAAAATTGATGTGTTCAATGCACTTTTAATAAAGGTAATGTAATATTAAAGGTACAGTTTCTAAGTACAATATAACAACATTCATATTAGAATGAAAATCGGAGTATTTAAAAGACAACATTAAATCTCTCTTTTTTTTACAGCTTGTATTTACAAAATGAATCAAAATATTTTTTTTTAAATTGAGGACTCAATAAAATAACAAACAGCTGGAAATAAGCAGACTACCGTTAAGAGTGAATTGAAAAGAAAACCCAATGTAAGTGAAAAGTTGGATGATCCTCTAATAAAGATCATTAGCAAAGTTTTAGTACAATACTATTTTTAGGATTCCCATAAATGGCTTGCATTTTTAGTGTGGCAGAAAAGGAGTTTTTACATACTGTACACAAAACAGACAGCATATATTTATAGGTACAGTATTACTGTTTCCAAACTTGCATGTATATTTACAGAAGGCTGAGTTCGTTACTCACAGAGTTTTGTGAAATTTGTGTGCTTAATCTTCAAGACCTACACACAATTAGAATCAGCATTTCATGTGGTCTTTTTAAATGTGGCTTTAATACTTGATTGTAGAAGAAATTGTTAACCATAAGGCTTGACATACTTTATAAATTTACCAAAAAAAAAAAAAATCCCAGGAAAAAATTTTAATTTGGGCACACCTGTCATTTAACAATTATCAAATGCTGACATGTGCTGGCCATTGTGTAGACACAAAGAGATACAATCTCTACTCTCAGGAAGTTTAGGATACTAAATGGTGCTTAAAAAACAAAACAAAAAAAACCCAATAGGTTTCAATCTCTAAGTGAAGCAATAAGGAATGACGTGATTTGTAGTAAAAGAGATTTCTCCCTAAACTGTAGCCAATTCACTTCAAAAGGTTAACTATTAGCATTCGCTCTCATTAACCACATGATTGCATTTATAACTAAGGTAACAGCAACTCTTCCATAAAAATGGAAAATGTCTAGAATTGTGGGTAAATATGCAGTGCATGGAAGCCAATAACCATGGCTTGAGAATTTATCACCTTCAATTACAAAAAGTGCAGTAAACAGAAACATTTGCTCTATATTTATAAATTGCTCAAAAATCTTTGCTAAAGATCTTACAAATTCAGTAATATTACAGAACAATTCTAATCAATATTTAATAAGGTTAACTACATCCTTAGTTAGATATTTGATATACTTTGATTTTTAACAATGCCAATAGGTCTTGGGAGAAGAGGTGAAAGAGTTTTAAGCTCATTATTAAGTGACTTTTAAAACGAAGGTCTTTCACTCAGTTCATGGAACTGGGTTGAGGTCATATTGAAACAGAACGTCCCTTGTCAAATTTGCTTTATGGCCCGTGTTCTGCCATGATAGCCGATGTCTCCATGCTTCTCATGGCTCAGGTAGGAGGGGAAAGGTTTATTCTGCCATCAAGCCACCAAGGATATTTTATAGAAATGCCTATTATCTATAATAGGAGCTAAGTACACAACTCTGTCAGGTGCCAATAATATAACTCCTTAGTAAGAAAAAAGAAATATTACTCCATTAAACTAGAGTGTTTCTTTAGATCTCGAAGGCCTGGCAAATTATTTTTCAGCTCAGGAGATATGGTATAAAGCCAAGTAGCAAACATAAAGTAAATGCTAAGTTTTCATATATCCATATTTATAAACAAATTCACCCTATCGATGTCAAATATCCATACTAAGGAAGTAATTTTATCCTAATTAAATACACTCTAGAATAATTTATATAATGATATTATGTATTTAAAGAGAAAAGCATGTCCCAAATCCAGCACTCTGATACAGCTGCTAGTTGGGAACAGGTAGATATATATTTATGTATATATATATACAAATATAGAGTTATACTCAGTGAAATTAACAAGACCCAAAGGTGGTATTGTCTAGGAATAAAAGGGACTTTTTTTTGTTCACAAAAGTAACTTATCTAGCACCACACATCAGAAAAACACAAAAATAGCACACTCTAGTTCTAAACAGCTATGTCTAAAATAGATTATATAGTAAAACCAGTATTATACAGCATATTGTGGATTTGATAAACAGATAAATATTTGCACTGAGTAGGCTGTTTATAATATAACATTTTCTTATCTATACAGAATGAAAGCCCAAAAGTTAACTGTATAGAGATGTGCAGAACAACATTAAATATTATGACTTAAAAGCAGGGACGAAGGTAAATTTGAAAGAAGAGTAAGAGAGAAAATGTGTACAGGCCATTACAAGTTCTTAAGTTAATAGTAAATAAGGAATCAATTGCTCAAGTTGAAGAAAGCAGTAAACAAGAGATTGCATTTACATGCAGATGTCTAAGATTTGTATTTTTTTAAGTCTATGCACAAAAGTCATTTGTTTTATTGCTTGACATTCAGTTATGGCTAGATTATTTAACCTATTTTTTTTTGTACTTTGGAAACAAGAATATTGTTAAAGGTGCCATAAAAATGGACAACATTGAAAACGGTTTGCAAATAAACCACCTAACACTGCAGTTCTTTATACATATTAAAAGCCTTGTCTGGGGTTTGTCATATGTTAAATATATTTAAACTGGGAAAATATGTTGTAGCTTGAAGCCTCCCATTGGCCCAAACATCCAATACAAAAACACATCTCCACAAAAGGAGCAGGAAGACAATACAGGTACATTTAAAGAAGCAGCCAGCTAATGTCCTAATGTTTAAAAATTTACCACTGTTTTATATGAGATTTCAAACCACTGTGGATAAGAGAATTTTGGATTCAGGAAGATGTGTACAGTACATACGGATTTTTTTGTGTGTGAAATCATATTCACTATATTGCTCGAGAATTATCTGCATTTACCTATGCAATCTGTTCAATAATAACCAAGTTCCTAGAAATAGTTTTCATCCACGTTAAAGTAATAATGAGTGAGAAAGGAAACACACGGGACACTGGAGAGAATTTAGTTGCTCTTAGAGAACAACATAATGGTGTGTGCAGTGTGTCAAAGCTAATAGCAAGCTTTCATTAGTTCTCAGAAGGAAAAAAGTAGAAGAAAATGTGGCAGACACACTAAATGTAAACAGCAAACACGTATTCTATAGGCATCTATTTAAAATATTCATATTCACTTTTCTAACATGCTTTCCTCCATGTTATATTGCATTGCTGAAAAAAACATTGTTTATTTGTTTTGAATATTCTGTCATTCATTTATAAGTAAGTAAATGACTGAATGTATTTATTGCTCTAAGATCTGAGGGTCTGGTTAAACATGGAGATCCCTCCATCTATATTTCCTTGGTATAAAGCCAGGCTTCTGGATTACTTTAAAAATTATTCTGAGAGCCTGACAAAACTGATCTTCCTTACACAAACAAGCAACTAACCCAGAAGTGAAACCGATTGCTTTGTAAAGACATTGTCGTCAGCCTTCTCATATCTTAAGAATAAACAATAATAGGAAGGCCTCTTTAATCAAATCTGGTGGAACCTCTTTAATAATACTAGTGTTTAGGGATAGAATGAAGACTTGTATCATAGACTATTAGCAATAGATCAAGATTTACTGTTGCAATTATATTTCTGTTCATCTGATCCATAGTATAAAGTTGTTTTTATAGGGTTCTGTTGTAGCATATCTTTATAAGACGTGGCAATCACGTGCTACAGTATGTGAAAATGTCAATAACCTGTGTGTGTGTGTATGAATATATGTATATATATATGTATACATGTATATATATAGGTGGAGAGAGAAAGAGAGAGAGATTTCTGCCATTTTCCATAGTCTTTATTATCAAAAACAACAAGGTCAAAGTTTCTTTTTCATCTAAACAACATGGAAAGTTTTCCCAAATTATACTCTGCTATGGTAGTAAGAATATATGTAAAAGCTTCTTCTGAATGTGTATTCCAGGTATGGAAGAATCAAAGCCAACAATTATACTGAGGTTCACTGACCTTATGAAAATACATGGAAACATGAGAACGAAGCTATATTGCAAAAATGTCAAATGTAACCCTAAAAGCCGGCTTGTGGCGCTGTTACATAGTTGGGTTTTGTTTGTCTTTAAACATTAGCTCTTGTATTAATTCAACAGACGAAAACTGTAAGTGTAGAAGAATTGTGTTCAATAAAGGGATTTTTTGGTTTGCTTCTAGAGAACACAATCAAGATAAGTTATTTGCTGGCATTTGAAAAAAATGTGTTCAAACTTTCACCTCTTTTACTGCACTGATAGGCAGGGCTCTTGTCTCATTACTGGTTTAAACAATTTTTTGCATACCATGTAGAATTGGAAAATTTCTAATATATAATGCTATGAATATATTTGGCATGAACATTTTAATTATTAGAAGTAAATGGAGTAGGTAGGACTGCACTTGAAGTGATGCTCTCTGTTGGTATGCTGCCTATTGATTTATCTTGTGAACATACTGGCATAACCTTATACTGCTTTGGAAGTTATTCAACATTTTTAACCACATGGGACTGAAGAACACATACGTTTTTGAACTCAACAAAATGAGACTATAGTGAAGAGTTTACACACACACACACACACACACACACGCGCAATTCTATACAGTTCACTTGTGCCTTGAGGGATAGTATTATTATCACTATTATTAATAATAAAAAACACAATTTGTCCCAGTAGTACTGGCCACCCTGTTTGAAGAGTTTTAGAAGATCCCTGAGCACATTGTTTCTGACTCTTAACCCCAACTCCAAAGTGATAGGGCTTCTATTGTTGATATCAAGATGGATTGTCATTCACAGTAAGTCAATCATAAGGTGCTTATTTACCCTTTTTTTTTCACCAATCAGCACAAAGAACTGTCAGAAAATAACTTTTTATTATTATTATTATCTTAAAATAATAGCACTGGAAGGACACATGATTTAAACAATCAATGTTTGAAAACAGTGGCTTTAGGATTATTATCTGGCTGCCCCTCAACAATAACAAGTGATTCAATCGACATTCCTTAGCCAAAAACAAAAGGCAAAAAACAAACAAAAAAACAAAAAACAAAAAAACAAAAAACCAACCAAAAAACCAAAACTGTACAAATATGTATTTTTTTCCCTGAGGGATCAAGGTACACCCGCAAGTGCTCTATGTACATATTGCACTAGAGAGGAATGAAGAACATGTGCAAAAAAGCAACAATGAGAGAAGCTTACATCCTACTTAAACCTTTTCATTAAAGATTCTACTAGGTTGTTTTGCATTTTGGAATGTCGGAACACAAACAGCTATTCCTTAGTCTAAAACTAAAAACACATATTTCTACTATGGCACATTCAATGAAATAAAAAGTTTTCCAAAGACAGATAGACAAATTCCATCAAGAAAATAATACAAAGTTTGTTTGTTTGTATTTTTTTTTTTAGAAAATTACATTACTTTCTTTCTTTGTTTCACATTACAAAATCTTTTTTTTTTCTTTACACAAATCACATTTTATTGCAGGAATATTTCAAGTGCCATCAAATATTTATAGAAGGGTTAAAAAAATAGAAGTCTCTCTAAAGTGGTCCAGACAAGGCTTTGTATAGAATAAATCTTTTTTTTCCCCATCTTCTAGTTTTGATTTAAGTATTTTGAATACATTTTCTTTTCCATTGACACTTAGTAGCCTAGAAGCGGTCCGACACACGCACATCATACACACGAAAACCACACACACACACGCACGCACACACACACACACACACTCCCTCCTCACCTGGCCCTCAGCCCACCCCCATATGCTCACAGAGATCTGGGTATCCACACTCTAAAGAACAACCAAACTTAGAAGCAGTGTCTTAAGTTACATTTTCCTTAAGTTAGGAAGGGTGAATTAGGATGCTGAAGACTTTTTAAAAAATCCATAGCTTTAACGCAAATTAGGATGCTGAACACTTAAAAAAAAATCCATAGCTTTAACACAATTTGCAAACTGTCCAAAAAAGCACTTTCATCTGCACTTTTGTTTTCATTGTGACCAAGGCCAGGTTCTTCAGAATATAATGCCACCATCTGACACCACTGTAACCAAAGGTATTCAGACTTCATACAAAAAGCCTTATGCACCCTCTATGAAAAAACTATATAAAAGGCATCATAGCAACTGGGATAACAATGATGTGATTCCAATCTTTAAAAGACTACTGGATATTTAAGTTTAGGAAACTTTAATTATAAGAACTCTTAAACAATCATTATTCTGTATCACCAAGTAGTCTGTGTCATCACACAGGTGTTTCTATAAGAAGAAAATAAAAACGCAAAGGTTTTCACATCCTTTTCTATACGTCATTTTTTTAAACTGAATTTATTGTTTAACTTCAGATCCCAACTTTGATCCAAATAATGGTTGTTCCCTCTGTTCACTGAGCACGCCTCCCCTGCTCTGTCCCTACACTGGCAACGTATTTTGCTCTTAAAGTCCTCACCTTGCTTTTCTTTCAGAAAGACCTGGTAGCAGCATCATGTCAATGTATGTTGGTTTATTTTAAAAGCAATGTCACCATGGCGTGACGACTACTGAGATCAAGCATCTTTTTTTTTTTTTTTTTGCATTTGGTACATGCAAAATCCTTTCTGGGAAAAGGAATTTCTTTTAAGCTCAACATTATGCTCTCTCTCTCACCCTTTGAGAAGTTCAATTAACTCTTATCACTTCACAAATGGACACTGGAATTCGGTTTAGTTGCTCTTTAATGCGCTAGCACCTGAGGCTGGTCATATTCAGAAAGCTTTGGTTAAAAAGAAGTTAATATACTCTAATAAAACCATCCCCAAATTTAGTGACTCAGAATGACAAAAACCAAAAACCAAAAACCAAACCAAAATAAAAACACACCATCTCCCCCCCCCCCCAGGAGAAACAATAGGAAAAAAAAATGGACAAATAAATAACTGAACTAAGCTTGGTACTCTTTTCAGAGTATAAATACTATTGATCTTTAAAGGAACTATGCTTATTTAAATTAAAAAATTTGATTTAACCCTTTTTGCCCAAATATAAATACTATATGCTGATAGTTAACCTCTCTATATAAACACTCACATAAAGTTTAATATACTTGTAAGAAATTTAAGTAAATATTACTCTCGTCTTCTATTTATGGTTAAACCCTTAGTATATTTTTGAAAAAAAAATTAAGATGTTATTTAGGCTTCATACACACTTCTGTGTGAAAAATTCCTTCCTCTTTTCCAAATCCCCCAGGAAACAAGTCAGAAAATCAGTTGGAGTTAAAGCCAGAGTAAAGGGCTCTGGGAAGCCCGTGCTGTGATCTACGCGACATCAGGAGCCACAATTCCTAGGGAAGATTCAGGAGGACCCTGGTGGTAGAGACACTTTGTCTGCTATAAAGGGCTGCCTAGAAACTCCCACCTTTATGCTATGAGAAGATGTTCCCTTTTCTGTATAAACATGGTCTCTCATGTCAGACCAGAAGTTTGAATCCCACCCCGACTGACTAAAATCATCTTCTAATGCCTACGTTTCCAAAGGGCACTTATTTTTAAAATATGCACACGTGTATATCAGACTGTTCATTCGCCCTTCCCCCACTGGGAATTATTAAAATTAAAAAAACCCTCCAAAACATGAAATTAAACAAAACATTCAATATTTCTCACCTGAACACAAAAGCCAAACAATCTTCTAAATATTTAATAAAATAAATTACAGTCCACAGTTTTCTAATGAAGATAAATACAAGAGTAAATGTTTGCGGCTAGCATCAACTTCACTTTGAATGCTTAAAATATTTAATATTTAAATAAGAGAAACTGGTTCAGTGTTACATACCTCCCTCACCCTTCTATCCATTGTCTGTGAAATATGGAGCGCAATATTCTAGAATTATAGCATCTAGAGGCAGCTAGTCTAGAGCTAGTTCACTCTGAGATATACTCTTAGGGTTCCAAGATTATACCAAGAACATAACCATTCACAAAGTAAATGCTTCATGTCCTCACATGGGCAGTGTGTGTTTGCTCCAGATATAATCTTTGGGTCCTTCTTATAATAAAAGCTGAATTCCAATAAATATTTGGGTTACTGATTTGTTCTCAAAGCATAAGAATTCCAAGTGGAGACTGAGTCCATATAAGTACTGAATTGTGTGAAATGAGCCTCCCCTCCCTCCCTGCCTCCATGAGGTGGCATTTAAAAAAGCTTTTTTAAAAAAAATAATGTGCATGATGGTATAAGTCCATAGCACCAATCGATCATTCAACTTTGTATGAAGCATAAACACATCTATCCTTAAGCTTACCAAGAAGCAAAGTATAATTTAGGGAGAGTTCCATTTCTAATTCCAAATGAAGTGTAAAAAAAAAAAAATAATAATCCACATCATGATTTCTAGATATGACCAGCCAGTCTTTTCAAAGTCCTTTGTAAACAGCAGCATAAATACCTCCTGACGTTCCTTCCAAGCCTTCTCAGTTAAACTTGTGTTTCTGGTGCACATGCGACACAACAGTGAACACGCTAGCATTTCATTTAAAGAAAAAGGTGCAAAATGAAAGTGCCTTATCAATTCAACAGGAAAAGCTACACCAGTAACTACATTTTATATTAATTAAAACAATATATAAACAATATCTCTTTTAGCTATATATAGTCTTCATGCCCATTTACCCTGTAATATATTATAATGCTATTGTTGCTAGTGCTATGGACCCTTTTCATACCATCCTGCTGACTGGCAATAATCGGTGGAAAAACATAAAGACTTCCTTCATGAAACAAAGAGCAAGTTGTGCAAAGTCATGCCGCCACCTCCGCTATGCACACCAGGTACCGATTATTGCAGGGCTCTCTGTTGGTACCAACAGATTGGTGACTCTGCAGAAAGTCTGTGGGCAGTGAGCTACAAAGAAAAGGAAATCCTCCGACTTTAGTACCCTCCTTCAGTTGTAAACAGAGGTCAATGATCAAGAAGTTGAGACAGAAAAAGGGTCCATATCTGTAGGCATAATGGAAATCATATGCATGAGAAAAACAAGTTCAACTTTTATTTGTTTTCATTGTTTCCCCTCCTTTGCCTGACCCCGATCACCAAAAGATGTGCAGTGTGTTGGAGCTCCAGGTCTGTGCAGGGCCATATAAAGTGTCTCGGTTAATTTTGTTGTGGTTGTTTTTCATGTTTTGTACTTCAGACATTCTAGAAGTGCTTAGGTGATACATTTACCCATCAATTTGCATTGCTGGCTCAAATTCTGAAGTGAACAACTCCTTGTATAATGGAGGAAAATGAAGTCGCACAATGTCTGGGTATATTGCTTTAAATGCCATTAGCTTTTCTGTATGTCGTCCACATAAGGCTCTTAATGTAGACACCTTGCATATTAACTGTAAGTGGAAGAAAGGACACGTTGTGAGGGGAGAACAGACATAAGCATCAAAAATCAGGGAATCTGGATGATCTCTACAACATTGTTTACAAAGGTGAAACACACTCAAAGTGGCTTAACATGTTCTTCCCAGAAGGAAGATTGGTAAAAACAAATTTTAGGCATATCATGGGATACCAGGTATACATTAAATACAATTTTGAAGACAAATAATACAATAATCTGAAAAGATGTTCATGAGCAAACGTGGCAGAGGTGAGATAAGAACCCAAGCCTCTCACCTCCTTCTCCTATTCCAACACGCTTTCTGCTCTCCCATCCCCAACCCTGCCCTCCACTGCTGTGGAGCAAGAAGACGTCTGGTGACAGAGAAGAAGACAAGGAAGCAGTCATGGGCTGCAACTGCCGATGAGCGCGTCCCCTACACATTTTATGCAGAACCAGGACTAGCCAACTCCAATGACAACGAGTTTCTTCTTGGAAAGACCTTGGCCTGGACAAACCAATTCTGGGTCTGAGTAGAAGGCTCAGAAGAAAGAATAGTCAGAAGGCCTGGACGGAAGTCTCAGCATTGACCATTTACCAGTTGAAGACAGTAACAGCTTGAAACAATGCTTTTTTAAACTCCAAAACACTGTGCAAATGATGTATTATTTCAGCCAAAATAATCCTAAGAAACGTGTTTGACAGATCTTGTCCATGTGCTACGTGCTCTCCAAAATGAAAGAACCTAATTGTATCCTTGCACTGGGGCAAGAAGATGAAGAAGAAGGTAAGGGTCTGGAGAGTTCTTCTATTTTCCATTCCTGCCTCAATCTCTCATTGAACAGGTCCAAAATAAAAACAAAGCAGCAATTAACCCCCAACTTCCCCTCTCCGACCTAATCTAGCTATCAGAAGAAAAGAAAAGAAAGCAGGAAGAGAAACCCAAACCGCTCAAATCCATCTTCTTGAACAACAAAACACATAAAATAGTCTAAGAAAGAATAAGGCTGATTTTTCAAGGACCAAATACATACTACTAGCATTAGCACTGAAGAAAATTAGCATACTTTAAATTGACATCCTAATCATATTTTTATTGCAAAAGGTAATAATTAGCAAAAATGAAGCCTTATGCTTTGAATACGGGGCAGTAATGGGAAATTGATGAAGAAAATACAAAAGTCACTTTCTGTTGATTACTAATGAATGTAATGGAAATAGAACTAATATTAGAATATGTGATTATCCTGCTTGTTTTAGTCCTTTATAACTTCCTCCTTCTAAATTCGAAGATTCTTTTTCTAATTTATATCAATGCAGAACATTAACTCTGCTTTATGCACAACTTAGATGGAATAGGAGGAAGATTTCCAGAACGTATTAATGCTTAAAAAAAAATTTCTACCATTTTCCTATTATTGCAGGACACTTCACAACCAATCATAGGAAGTAGAACTTAACCCGAATTTTGGCCCAACCAAGTTTATCGAAATGGAGATATTTCTTCAGTAGCCTATTGCTTACGGATACCTCTGGGGGCCGGTAAGATGACCTGTAAGGGTGGCTGGCAGCAAGACCTGTGGCAAGGGATAGTTCAGGCCATGCCAACCAGACACCTTTCCCTTTTACCTTTGTTAGAATTCCATCTTCTCGGTGATTCTTCTGCAGGACATGTTGAAGAGCTAGCTGAATTTTCTGTTGCAGTTTTTCAATTTTTACCTTTTCCTGCAGCCACGAGCGATCTAAACATTAAAAATGATACTTCTTAGTATTTCTCCTACGTGCTATCGGGACACCCCAATTCCTCCGGACTCTTAGACACAGATTATTATGCCACAATGCAGAATTAGAGAACAAAAGTCCAGTTTTATTCCTTGTTCAAAATTTGCTCCTAAAGCAGTGGAAGACTGATCTAAGATAGAGTGGTAAAGCTTTCCATTTTTACTGATCCTTAAAGGAGGGGAGAGTCCTCTCCTTCCAAAAGGATAGACATTTAAATTTAAATCTAAGGCCATACACAAGGGCAAATGAAACCACCATGGACGCTCAAATCTTTCTAATAAGTATATTTCTGGATGAAATACTCATAGCAATCCTGCTAGCCTTTCTGGCAAATATGAAAATTGCCTTATAATCTAAGGCAACTAAAATTGTCAAGATCATTCCAAATGACTTAAGGGTTATGAATTTGGTCTTTCTGTGTAAGAATGCCAAACAGAAGACAGTAAATTTGCAAAACAGATTATCCCCAGGAGGCAGTACTAGTTGAAAACAGATTAAATTCAGATAAACTTGTGGATGACATCCAAATGAATCTTAAGAAAAAGTAGGATGTCTTAAAAACCATATTCTCTTGGAGATTTGTGTTAAGAAGGGCAACCCTACTCTCCCAGAGCATTTCTCATGATATCAAGAGGTTAATTGTGGACTGGGTTTTCCTCAACTTTCATTTTTTAAGACTGTATCAGAATGGCATGAGGTCTTCTTAAATGGGTACATGTATGCGTTGGGGGTTGAGGGGGGCTTGCTGTTTGATAAAACTTAAAATTAGATTCAATAAGGGTGGCACTGTCTCAGTAGGCACCCGAATATGCTATGGCCATTACAACTTAGGTACCTCGTAAGAATTCTTTACCTGGGCAATTTTTAAAGCATTTCATTGTTATTTGGTTATCTTACCTGCTGACATTAGTACAAATGCAGAAAATAATGCAATTTCATCTTCAGTCAGGTGCATAGAACATAAACTCTTTCCAAATTCAAATACAAAGCTAATAAAGTCTTCACAACCTGCCAAAGTTAAAGACAGTTTAAGATTTTGGTTATTATCCTTGGAGAAAAATATGGAATAAGGTGAAGAGGGATCTAGTACTTGAAGATCCAAGGGGATATGAATAACATTTCTACAGTTTAACAATTTGAAATCTTAAAAGAAAAATCTGTTTAGCCATCATCGCTATCACCACCATCCTCACTATTCAAAATAATGAGAGTGAACTTTTGCTGCAAGGTTAGCATGTTATTAGGTACCACTCTAAGAGGTTCCTTTGGGTACCTTATTGCTTCATAACAATTCTATGAGGGAGGGATTATTATAATCATTTTAGAGGTGAGTAAACAGATTTGGAGAGAAAAATTACTAAAGTTCAGACAGGTAGGAAGAAACAGCCTGAAATTCAAAGCAAGGCTGCCTGACTTCAGGACCCACAATCTTAAACAACAGAGTCAAACATCTACAATGTAACTGAGATGTTACATTCACTGATTTTTGGTTTTCTACTCTATTTGATCTAAGCCACCCTTAAAAATGATAACCAATGACACAGTATGGTGGTAAAATCATTATAGCTATTAAAAACTGAAAACATAGAATGTGAAAGTCCCATAAAATAATAATCCATCCTCAAAAGACTGGTTAAGTTTGGGGGTGCCTGTGTGGCTCAGTTGGTTAAGTGTCTGCCCCTAGCTCAGGTCATGATCTCAGGGTTGTGGGATCGAGCCCCGAAGTTGGGCTCCCTGCTCAGCGGGGCATCTTTTCCTCCCTCTTCCTCTGCTCCTCCCCACTGCGCACACGCTCTCTAAAAATAAATAAAATCCTAAAAAAAAATTGGTTAAGTTTGATGTCTACTCTTTTAGATTTGCATATTATGTGTACGTATCTAAATGGCAATGAGCTTTCCTAAAGCATACAGACCTTCTGTCATTTAACTGTTTTCAAAATCACTTAACTTTATCTTGGATACTGTTTCATTCTTCTTAGTGATTATATCCCACTTTATTTAAATTATAGAAATCCAAAATAATTTTTTTAGTATATGTCAGTTTCACTTAGCTATAGTTTTCTTCTTTGATATCTACATTTCATTCTTATTAATGGTTGTTATTCGAGAGGTACTCTTTGCTTGATTTTATGTATCAAATCACATTCTCTAGTTTATCTGAATAATTTATCCTATGAAAATCTGGTTCTTAAAATCTGCAAGGGAAAGACAATATAATTTTATAATATAAATATAAAGAAATATAAATATAAATTTCTTCGATTACAAACTAGGTAAAACAAAACACTAAAACCTTCCAATGTACTATAGACAAAAACTGTTTGAGCTGTGTGAATTTTCTGCAGTGACTATAAAGTAACATAAGCATAAAATCCTTTCGTTTTTGTTTCCAAATAACAGTTTCCATTCTGTTCAGTTAGCTCTTTGGTGGGGCTCCCATATTTTCCTACGGCCCTGATTCAAAGACAGAGCACGCGGATTTCCTTACCCAAGGATTTGAAGACATCGGGGCTAGCATATTTCCCATCAAAGTACACGGTGTTGTTCTGAGAGTCGAAGGCACGGCACATTCTGATAAACACCACCTCTAGAGAACCTAAGCGAGGACAGAAATGGTGTGGATTTTCTTATCGTGGTGAATGTTTGTCTATTGTGAAGGCATTAATGTAGGGACCCCTTTCTGATTCAGCACAGTGGGGCTGCATGCTCTCAGTCACATCAGCTCTCTATATTTAAAGGGGCACAGTTGACTAGCGTAATTTAAGATTTATGCTGAAGCTAACTAAGGCCTGTATTCCTGAAGAGAGACGGGGTTACAAATTACTTCTCTGGCATTCTTCTGTCTTGCAAGAGAGTCTCAGAGTTGCCAGGAAAACGTTATTGATTCATATTTATTAAAACAAACCAAGAAACCAGGGGTGTCCCTTTGAGTTCCACAAATAACGTTCCTAGCAACTTACTGTTACCTCCCGAGGGTCTGGAGTGATAGAAACAAAACTCAGGTGATGGTAAGATGGGGGAATGTGGGTGTCCTTCAAATTAATCATTTCACTCAGAGGAGAAGCAAAATGGAGGGAAGGTTGCCTGCAGATGGCTCAGAAACCTTTAAAAAGGACTCAGTTTCTGCTAAAAGAAACCCGAGTGATTAACACTGGGGGAAAACTGTTCCCAACACCTTCCTTACCAAGCATTTCTCTAATAGGCGGGTGAAAGCAGGTTAGGAAGAGATCGCAAAATTTACTTGCAAAGCACATACCTGCTTTGAGAAGCACAATTTGATCATTTTGACACAGTTCCATAAATCCGTCGATGCGTTTGGCAAACTCCACCACGTACTGTATAGCTTCTGTGATTTTGATGGCACATAACTGCCACATCACCTCCCGCTGCTGTAGAGGAGCAAACGCACATCAACATACATGGTCACCCACAGCCCCAACACAGGTGTCTCAGCTGCCCCTGTTCCGGCAAAGCCTCCTTTGGAAATGGATTCAAAAAGTCTAGAGGGTTAAAAATAAACGTTTGAGTTATAATGATTGCTTCCAAGTCCCTTTCTCGTCTCCTCTGATTCCTCTGTTACCATTTTGGTGGCAAAGGGACAGGGGAAGATGTCACGAGCAGGTGAAAACATGAGTCAGAAAACCAATACATGCCACCGCTTTACCCGTGGGCCTCGGAAAGCAGCAAAGTAGGATCTTCTTTTGAGCCATTATTTTACCTTGGGGAATTTAATACCACTTTCCTGGGGATAAGGAAGAGAAGGGGAGTCAATTACATTTATTGTGCACCTGCTTCAAGCTAGATGCTGTATGACATCCTTGTCTTGTTTCATTTTCCCATTTTCCATAAATGGACACAAATTCTCTTAGCGGTTTCAGAGCTAGGAGGTGTTGGAGCTGGGATGCAAATCCCAGCATTTCTGACTCTGAACCCCATCTCACGTGCCTGGCTGTTTCTTACTGCTTTCTGGTTTCCCTTTCTAACAACACTGGCTGGCTGCTGGTGTTACCTGCTATCTCAAAGGCAAATAAAGTGATGTGTTGCTATTCCCCAGCCTGTCTTGTTTAATTGCTTTTATATACCCACTCTTTAATTTAGTTATAGGGGGACACGGATCTGTTACATCGCTCACTTGTTCCCCCAAGCTTACTTTAAGACTGTTTCCACCAATATGATGAGGTGAAGGAACCACTGAGTTAGGGGCCAGGAGTCATGGTCTGGTCCTGATATTTTCACTCTCCTGCCAGACGCCAAGGGATGCTAATTTCCTCATATGTAAAATGAAGGGGAGGATTAGTCTGCATAATCTCTGTCCCCCCTCCTAGGCCTACATCTTTATAATTATTGGGGAAAACCACAGCATTTCCCTTTACCAAGGCAGAACAGGTAATTGAAACTTCCCCTTCTCCAGCCCTGCCCTCCCATTCTGACGGCTTGTTGAGCAGCGTGTAGAGAAAAAGGCAAGTAGCGGCACCCTTTGTCAGCCTTGCATTGCTAGGTTCAGACTGGAGTTATGATAATAGCTTCCAAACCTTTTTCTGTACACACTCTCTGAACCTCTGGAAACAGGAGGCTGAGATTATTTTACATTCAACTTCCAGACCTTGAAATCAGGACAACTCTCAATTCATTCAGGCTTTTGGACACTGCTTCCTCCAGCCCCCATTGCCAAGTGATAGGAGATACGTGTATATAATCACAGGTACAAGAGAATTTGTTACTGTATTGCTGGAATTTCACACACTTGCACCTCAGTAAGACAAAGCCCCAACCCCAAGTATATGATCATCTCCAGAAGAAAGATTTTAAACAGAAATCTGATACCCGAATACAGACGTCCTGCATAAACACCCTTCCCACTGTTGCCTCAATCCTGGGTAAAAATCTTCAGAGTATGTACCTTGTTTTGGTAGCTCTCGATCTCCTCCTGCAGAAAGGTCTGCCACGTTATCTGCTGGAGCTCTTCTCTCAAGTATTGGCAAGTTTCCAGGTGTGATTTAGATATATTCTGTGCAAGGTGTTCTAAGGAGAAAACAGGAGGTCATAAACATGAAAAGCCAAGCTCTTCTCCGGATAATCAGGGTTTTCCCTGCTTAATCTTTGGTTTAAAAAGTAGCAAGTACAAAGAAACATGCTGAACCAGTTTTAATTATCTTTACATTTTTAAATAAGCAATTTGGAACTATTCTGTATTTTGGCACATGAAGATGAAGGACAGGCAAAGCCAAATACTTAGAATTAAGTCTTGGTGACTTCAAAGACCCTCCTGACCTTGACCTTCTTCTGTGGCTTTACACCAATGTGTGGGAATGAAAAATTATTAGCCTGGGCAGGTGTGGGAAATGACCAACGCAGCCTCTTCTTGGCATTTTGACGAAGACACACCTGCTGTGTACATTGACTTGGGGAGGATTACTCTTGAAAACTTAGGAAATGGTATGCTTTTGTGAAAACAACTACTTATTTCTTTTATTTTTCCAGCAAATAGCACAAGAAGCATTACTGAGGGCCTACTATGTCACTCTGTATAGGGTGGTGATTAAGAGATGGACTCTGGCACTATATGGCCTGTGTTTGAAACTCAGCTCTTGTATCTACTAGCTGTATGATCTTGGGTAAGTTACTCAACCTCTCTGTGCTTTGGTTTCCTCATTTGCAAAATGAGGAAAACAGTACCTACTTCATAGGGCTTGTGAGAATTAAATGAGTTGAGCACTTAGAACAGGGAGGGTTACCTAGTATGCACTATATAAACATTTGTTCTTATTATACTGGAGTGTAGGTGGTTTGAGGATATTAAAACAAATAGATGCCAAAGAAGTTTCTCTAGGAACTTATAATCTGGGGAACATGTATGGACATGTTGAAAGGACAATTCAAGACATTAGACAATAATGCATCAAGTTGAATTATATCAGAAGAGAAAAAGAGAGAGAGAGAGAAAGAACGGGTCCTGCCACGGAAGGGAGAGACGAGGGGTATTAGGGGATGCTTTTTGGCAGGAGAGGAACATTTGAAGTGGACCCTGAAGGAAGGGGAGGATTTGGCAGGCAGAGGCCAGCAGTGTGAAGAGGTGAGCCAGTTCCACATTGGAGGGGCGACAGATGAAGGAGCCAATAATGGCATTTACAGGGGACAGGCAGATGTGATAAAAGTGATAGTATCAAGACAGAAACATGAGTAGGTCAGAGTCCACATTCTGGAGAATCACGAATATTAGGATTAAGGGTTTGGACCTGCTTAACGAAAGGAGTCAGTGGAATTCTCCAGGGGAGCTGACACGCGGAAGGCTGTATCCAGGGAAACAGAACAAGCAGTCTTGTGATTGGTGGATTGGAGCAGAGGCCGGTGCTGGAGGCACCAATGAAAGGCCGCTGTAATCCACATGGGCGGGACTAAGCACTTTGGGTAAATTGGTGATAAACGTTATGGCAGGGAAGGACGATGGAAGTATTTTAAGGGAACGGACAAGATTCCATGAATATGAAACCATACCCCAAAGGGATCTCCTTCCAGGGTCTTGATGATATACCAGGAAAGCCTTTTCAAAGAATGGTAGTAAGAGGGTCTGTTTGGAAATTTGTCACTGCTTTCAGCAAACAGCATCAGACTTGTTTGTGTGAAAAGAGTGGGTTCACCTAAATGAAGCTTAAACAAGAGTCTCCTTAGAGACACTGAAACACAATAAATCTTAACAGGCCTATTTGGCAACACACAGATATGAACATAACATAAATAAATACCAGGAAAATAAAGCATAAACAGAAGGGAAAAAATTAAAGGAAAGAAACAGAGAGACAATGACCAAAAGAGGGAGAAGACAGTAATTTATGTGTCTTAGAATCAGTGATGCTTGTGAAGGGAAGAGGGGAGTAAAGACAAAAACAATGAGTCAGAAACAAGAAAAAAAAATTGTATAAACTAATTTTTGCAGATACGAAAAAAATGAAGATGAAGTGTTTGCACGGAAGCTGGGGGAATCCTATGAAGTGATGAATGGGAAGAAGCTCATGGTATTCCCTTCCAGATCATGTTTCTTTTCCCGTTAATATGGGTCAGCATCTTGCTTTACCTCACCCTAAAAATTGTTCCCACCCATCCCTACCTATTTGAGCCCAGCATTCGGAAGTCTGACAAGGAATGGCGTAATGTACATGTCGAACCAGTAGAGGGCAGTGGCTGCATTCTCACCAACTGCCTTTACAATTCACAGTTGATTTGGCAAGTGTCAAGATTTCAGACACTTTACTATTTTTAAATCTCCATTTCAGCAAAGGACAATACGGTCAGACTGAGTAAAAGTTAAGTTAGCGTGGTCTCTTAGAGAAACACTCTGGAATAGTGAAATACCGTGCAACTAGGAGTTAGGAGACCTGGTTTCTGGTTTGCACTCAGCAGATAAATTCACTTTGTGATGGACAAATCAGTTCACCTTCCCAACCATGATTGTTTCTTCAACACGGCTAAGGTCTAGGTACTTCAGATGGAAAATCCTGACTTCTGAGTTAGTCACAGATTTTCACAGTGGGAAGGAACTTTGGACATCTGGTCCGACCTCTCCTCAGTTTACAGATAATAACACCATTAATAATGATGATAATATTTAATAGCATTTACTATGTGCTAGCCCCATATAACTTATATATACACATATATTCTGAATATGTATATTTTCTTCATCTTCATAACAATCATGGGAGGAAAGCGCTGGTATTATCTCCCTTTTACAGATGATGAACCCAAGTGAGGTTAAGTGACTTTTCCAAGGTATCATAGCAGACGAGTGGCAAGTGATTCAAACATACATAATTTGGGGCCAGTCTGTGCTTAATCATTATATTCTATAAGTAGGGAAACTGAAGCTTGCAAGGTACATGACTTACAATGGGTTGTACAACCTATAGCAAACCTAGGACCACAAAACATATAAGCTGTCTTCTTGACTAGTCCTTTGTCCAGTAATCAGGTGACTCTTCTGCACAAGGCTTTAGTTATCAATTATAGTGACACACGCAGTTAGTTTTTTTTTTTTTTTTAAGTGAACCTAGGTTGTTTATCTGGAACGTATAATTCAGGTACTAATTGTACCTCAAGGGCAAAATCTCCTAGCCAGGAATGCAGATGTATTTCCACTAAACGTAATAGATTGTAGATACTATTATTGAAAGAGAAAATTGAGGTTAGGATATGTCAATTTATAATTTATTTTCCAACTGTATAACTGGTTTCATTGGTTTAAAATCTGATGACAAAATTTTGCCTAAAATGAAGTCAAGGGTGTTAGTTAAAAAGATAGTAAGACTGGAATCACTATATTGTACACCTGAAACTAATAAAACTCTGTATGTTAACTAGACTGGAATTGGAAAAAAAAAAAAAAAGATAGCAGGATTTGAGGCCCCAAAGGAAATATCAGAGAACCCCAGATAGCTTTGAAGAAGGAACAGCAGTCTTTGGCCACTTCTATGTTGCTCAGCTCCTCCAAATATTTTGTACAGGTAAATGGGAAAGAAAATTAGAGCCCAGTTATATTCTTTTCAGACAAATTCTTATTTAGTTTTGGGTTTGGGGCTAATCCTAGTGATGAATTAATTTTACTGATCTTGGAAAATGCCACAAGACACGTGAAAAGCCCCCAATTCAGGAGAGCATGGAGAACATTTGAGGGCACAGGGCTCCCAGACTGTAGCGGGAGGTAACAGTTGTGGAAGACACTGACCAGGGGGCCCAGGGGGCACTGGTTTCGCCATTTCAGGCCCCATTCAGGTATTAGTGCACATTTAGCCGAAGGGCCATATTTAAGGGCAACACTTTGGCTAAGCCCCATGGCTTTATTTTAGGGCTGAACGTTTGACAAGCAAACAGGACAGATCTGCTAGTATTTATGATAAGGTGGAAGCAAACTGAAAGTGAGCCAGGTCATTTTTCATGATATCATGTCAGCTTTCAATCAAATCCTTACTCATTTCTGAAAATTTTACTTTCATTACAGTTCTGCTTAAGTCGCAGCCAACCAAGATTTCACGACAAAAACGGAAGGTTTTTGTTCTAGTTCAAGAAAAAAATATCAAACCTACCTCTGCTCAGCTTGGCTTCTAGTTCAGAGGTTCCTCTGTTAATCAAAAGAGCTACAATCCACCTTTAATGCTGTTCAGTGGTTAAAGACCACGCTTAAAATGTCCCTGCTCTTGAGGATTTAAATTTAGACCCATAAAGAGGTGCTTGTGTAAAAACCGTAAAGAACATTCAATTTGTTCTATTTGGAGAAAGATTTTACTGGAAATATAAATTTCACTTAAAAATGTTTTATGGGGTACAGAGGTGGAGAAACCATCTAAAGAACACAACCGTTATTTCTGTGAACTAAGGATGTCTGTGCTCAAGTCAGAACCTGCTGGTTCTTTTCCATCTGAAGTCTTCATTCTCTCCTCGTGTTAAGTTAGTCACCTCCACATCGACTAATTGAAATATCCCAAAGGATTATAACCCTGTGTGAGGAGTCACGGGGAGGAGCACATCAAATTCTAAAACTGCAAACTTTCTTATCCAAGTTTCGCTAATATAGTGTTGTACCTAAAAATCGATTAAATGTTACAACAGGGGTTGTTAACACAACTTCCTCGAAATGGCAAGTCTTCCAGTGTCTGTGTTTTCAACATTTCTAGGTCACACCTCCCAAAAAGCAACAATGTCACACAGGATTAAGGAGATGACAAGTTTGTTTGTTTTTGCATGGTGAGTTTTCTATGAAATGTATCAGTTTTGTCCCCAATATCCATCACCAAACCATTTTGGCAAATAAAGAGGCCAATTTCCCTTTAACATTCATAGAGTACCTCAGGGCTGCAAAACCTAGATGCCTACAGGAGCTGGGCAGCGATATAAAATGGGAAAACATGTCAAGGTGTTAGGGCCTTACTGGTACCAACTGGTTATTGCCATTCACCAACGCTGGTCCAGTATAACTAGGTCATTTTCTCCCCTCTCACAAGAAGCTGAAAAATCTGAACTTTGAGGTAGGATTGTCTAGGTTTAAAACTTTAGCAACCAGTTCAAAAATTTTTAAAACTCTGTGCAGGTCAAAAAAAAAATGTGTATGGCCCAAGCACAGTGTGTGGGCTTCCATTTTTATGACTTCAGGTGTAAAGCAACACCTGGATCATAACTAAAGGAAATGATGAACAGAGTTAATGGGGCCATCCCCCGAGTTTATAGTTTCTGTGGCATTTAAAGACAGCTTCAATGCTGCCCCATCTCTGATATGGACAGGTCAACGTGTTTCCTGGATATGCGAAGGGAAACAGTGGACGATCAAAAGCAAGGGGGCAGGGTGGAACTTCGAAGGGGTCCAAATGGTAGAGGTGAATTGCTCTCCTAGTATCATTTTAAGAACATAACTCATTAAGGGAAAGTCAAACACCCCCCATTTACTTGAAAGGGCACGAGTAACACGTCGCAACGGACACACGGAGGCCATTACCTAATTCTGCCATGGACACAGTTGGGGAAGTCTCTCCATTGGTGAACGAACAGTAGGGAAAGAAGCCTGATGCTGGTGTGTAGTCACATATTGGTTCTGGTTTGATTCCATTGATATCAAGACCTGACTGGTCTGGGGAAGGCTGTATGTCCAGGTAGAAGCTGCTGACGGCCGAGTCTGCCTTGCTGCCCTCCGGGGTGTGCCCGTCGATGTAGCTGCTGAGGTCCTCGTGAAGCTCGGTGAGCCCGTTGGCTGAGATGCTGTAGGTGGGAGTCAGCGGCTCAGCTTCTCCAGGCTGCTGTGGGGGGTCTCGCTGCTGCTGCTGCATCCGGTGTTTTTGTACTTCTGCGTACAAGCTGTCTCTTTGCTTTTTTGACATCCGGCCAAATTTTACAGCTGGAAGAGAAAAGCCAGACCACACCATAGACAATATGCTTCTCTTTGTTATTCTCTCCAGCATGCATTGGGGGTTCCTTTTAAGTCTCAGACAATCTCCATCAAAAACCACATTGCCACAAAAATAAGGACATGATCCAGAGGTGAAAACGGTCCCACCCCACACAGGCTTGCTCCACATCCCAGAGGAGCTACGTTTCAGAAACAGACCTGGGACTGGTGGAAGGGCAATGACCACGTCTGTCCTCCTGCTGTCACATAACCCGACGCTCAGTGGGAACCGCTCATGTGTGACTTGATGGGCTTGCTCATTCTCCGCCCATGCCGCTTGCCTCGACCACCTCTTTCTCTTCCCAGGGTTCAGACCGATGTGCAGGGATGCAGACTCACAGGGGTACATCGAGGCACAAGCAGCTGAACCTCAACTTTTATTCATCTCACTCATTCATTCACTTATTCCTTCCCAATCAAACAGCTGAAGCTGGGGCTTTGCTGTGAGACCTCAACAATGAGGCTTCTTTGCAATTTCCTGACTTATATCTCTGAGTCTACCTGACCTAAGAAGCCCCCCTCTCCTCCTCCTGGATCACGGTGACCCCCGTGGAACCCTTGGGCCCACCTTTAAGTGACCTTCTGCTCTTTTCATTTACCCTCAAGTAAAAAGAGTATCAGAATTTTGAGAAGGGCAAACACTGTGTAAGATCCCTGTTGGGCAAATTTGTGTTTGCAATGTTTCTCCCTGGGATGTGTTCCCATATTTAAAGTGAACAATGAGTGTAGTATCTTTCCTGTTCATTCAGAATCCCAAATGATCTCTCCTAAAACACTGGATAATTGATAAAAGAACCTTATGATTTCCTGGTCCGAACTCTCCCACTAACCCATTTTCTCTCAGCCCGATTCTGGGTATGCAGAGAAAGCCTCTGCTGGAGGGACTAAGACCTCCTAACTGATTGTGGTTACACTGATACCTGACCGGGTGGTTGAAGTCAGCCATTTGACCGTCACTGTAATTCTATGAGTCTAAGGGTAGGAAGCAAGAGACATGGAAGTTAAGTTGGGAACCAGGGACAACCACCTGGGTCAGCTGGCAGATTTGTTTCCTGCCAAGGAGGACGTGCTGTCCCTTCATACACAGGAAACAAGTGAGTGGGATCCGGGTCAATTTCCAGTTTCCACGGCTCAGGTAACAAACTTGGGGCTGGTTAGGCAGCAATCAGGCTGCTCTGAGCTCTGGGTTTCAGGCCTGTCATTGTACAAGCCCCGACATTCACATCAAGGCCATAACATGTGTTGCTACCTCTGTGCAAAATTTCCAAGAGGTATACTGAAGGTATATATATAGTTTTTCTTTTAAAGAATACTCCAGAACACCCAAAGGGATTAATAGCCATAGGTGAAACTCATTCTGCTGTGACTCTGAACTGTGTTTCAATTTTTGCCTTAATATTAACAAGAGTAATTATACTATCCTCTAAGTGAAACGAAAGGATCAGTTCTTGAGAAAATGCACACACAACCTGTGATCTTAGCTTACAAGTTCACAAGAGATATGCCTGACCTTGTTAGTTTAGTGTCACTGAAAGATGAAATCTGCAGAGCTGCATATCACAGGAATTTCTGTGTATATAAGTTCTGTGACTTGCATCTTCCAATGTCCCAAACTTTATTTTTGTGCCTACGTATTCTTAGTGGCCATCCTGTGCGTTGCTACCGACGTATACCACAACTCGTGCCTGGGCTGGTCTGCGGGCCCCAAGAACATCTGATTATGGGGAAGGCAGGCTTTCTGAATGCCTGCCCAGCATTCCGAAATATTTTCCACAGGCAGGAATTCCATTGGAAGAGATGTTTCCTTCAAGGGGATCTCTTAAGAGAGCCAGCCAGCCGGTATGTTCGTAAAAGTCCTTAAAATGTACCCGCAATACTTTCTGCCCAGTTTCCTTGTATAAGAATAACTGTCTTGAAATCTGGTGTTGATTATTCAATGCACTTAAGATAGTGTTCCAGGAAGATCTTGAAATGTTTTGCAATTGAGTGATAGATGGACTCTATTTCTTAAAACAGCTTCTTTTAAGGAAAAGAACATTTGTCATTGAGCCATGCTTTGCACTGTTTTCACACATTCTGTATGTACAAATACATGACTCTTTCTTTTGTTTTGAGACATATTTTGATTTGCCATTTGATTTCTTATTTGGTTTACTGCTTATGCAGTAGTGTGTTGTATAGTTTTTATGTATTAAATATTTAATATTTACATTATAGATTTTCCAGCTTTGTTTTAATGTTGATCTTTAGTTTTGTACCATTGTGGTTGGAAAATATACTTGGTGCGATTTAAATTTGTGATATTTGTTTGTCTCTTTTTATGTGACTTAACCAGGGGATTCTTCTGTGTGTACTTGAAGAAAATGTGTATTCTATTTTTCTTGGATGGAATGTCTTAATGTGTATCCTACAGAACCATATATTCTGAAGTATGCCCTAAGTAAAAAATGTTCTTGTTGGAAAAAGAAATAATAACTTTAACTGAGGGTACTCTTTTAAAATAAAGCATAGCAGAGAGGAGGGTCGGGGGATGGGTGAAACAGTTGATGGGGATCAAGGAGTATATGGAAATGTTAAATCACCATATTATACACCTGAAATTAATATAACACTGTATGTTTAACTACACTGGATTTAAAATTTAAAAACTTAATTAAAAATTTTTTAAAAAACCCCAAATATATGACTTTGGATTTGTGATTCAAAATATCCAGTTAATATAGAAGCTAATTCATTCCAACTGCCAATAAGCTTTACTAGTTAGTGTAAAGCACTAGCAATTAGCCTTAACCATTAGCTCTGGCTTGTGCTTCTTACTGGGGAAAATGCCTATAAGAGGTATATTTATTAAGGCCCTCAGATGACAGGTACCTTCAATCACCTTCAATCAATTCATCAACCTGTAATGTCTTGAATGCCTAAAATCGGAAGGTGTTTTGACCACACAGATGCTTTTCCTCCATGTCACCCTCACCCCCAGCGGACCCCCAGTGGATTACGGAGGAGGAAGTAACCGGTTTCGTGGCACCCACAAGGCCTCCAGAGGAGGTGGGGTGGAGTGGGGGAGGGGCAGATCTGGGTCCAGGGCTCAGAAGGCCCCTTCACAAGCCCATGCTACTGTACAACTGAAACTATGAGTGCTCACCATCTCGAGACATCCCTACGGCAAGGCATTTCTGTAATCGACAGTGTTGGCAGCGGTTTCTACTGGTTCGATCAATCAAACAGTTCTTCTGACGAGGACAGGAGTAGGTGGCATTGCTTTGCTGACTTCTCCTGAAAAAGCCCTGTGATTCAGTTATAAGACAGAAAACAGATTAGTGTCAGTTTGAGCCATATGATACTAAAGACAGTATACTAAGCACTGAACGGCATTAATGTTTAACGGGGAATTAAAGTTATAGCAGATCATCTAGGAGACCATTAATGACATTAAAGTCACTTCTTTTTCTTGGGTAAAATTGATCCCTAGACCCTAATCCCTTGTCCCTTACACATGTGAAACTTTAACTCCAACAGATGGCTGCCTATGTGATCAGGCCCTGTTCTTGGCTTCTCATGACCAAACTGTGTGCTTGATGGATCGGTACAAAGGCACTTATCTTTAACCTTTATCTCCAAAATATTTTTAGTGGAATAAACACAAAACACTTCTCTGAGATGTCCAGAGACAAGGAAAATGCTGTCTCATTGTAACTCATGGTAGCTACAATCCTGCTATCCTGGGTTATCTCTGCTAGCGCACTGAACTCTACCACACTCTAGGCATCTTGCATTCCCTAAGATAGAATCTCCTGCCCTAAGAACTTAAATGATACTTGGATGGATTATCTTGGTAGAGAAGTCAGAATGGGAATACTCCTCAACCCTTGAGAGTTTGGAAATACCAGGTGTTCAGAATCATGGCCTTTATTTAACAAATCCAATCCCATGGTCATCGAGTTCCATTTACTTGCCTTTTTTAAAAAATTGATTTATTTATTTGAGAGAAAGAGAGAGTGAGCAAGCATGAGTGGGAGGGGCAGAGGGAGAGGGAGAGACAATCTCCCTGCTGAGCATGGAGTCCGACTCGGGGCTCGATCCCAGGACCCATGAGATCATGACCTGAGCTGAGACCAAGAGTCTGACGCTTAACCAACTGAGCTATCCAGGCACCCCCCCACTTACTTGTTAAGCACTGTTTTGGGAATGAGAGGGTGTGCAAAGATGCCTAAGGAGCTACTGACTTCAAGAATTTAATTTATTCATCCACTTATTCATTCATTCACTCTTGCTAACTTCTTGAGCTGGATCCTTACTACATCATTCATTTTCTGTGTTCATTCTTTTCCTAAAGCTGCACATTTTCCTTTTGGTTATCTTTTAGAATAAGTTTTGCCATGTAGTATTTGCATTACCATTCATTTGAAAACATGCTCTAATTTTCAATAGATTTCTTCTTTAATACATTATTTAGAAGCACATTTCTTAATTTCCAAACATATGGGGGGTTGACTGTCTTATTGTTGACTTATCTCTTAGTGGTTTTGCAAGCTAGGAAGGTGCTGAAGAAAAGGAAGGTAACCAAAGTCCTTTGCATGATGCAGGGCCATGAAGGGTCCAAAAGAACATTATTGCCTTCAAATCCTTAATGGTAAAGATTGTAACAGGACCCCAGTAAAGGGGACACCAGTGGAGAGAGAAGAAGTAAAGTCCTGAAGAACTGACAGAGTAGCAGGCACCCTGACAAAGGTACTTTCTCACCAAAATATTTTTCTGGAGATCAACTTGGCAGTTGTATCAAAATCCTTAAAAATATGTCTATTTATTGAATCAATAATTATCCTTTAGGGAATATATTTTAAAGGAATATAAGACTATAAAGACTTATCTACAAGGATGTTCACCATAAGTATAGTCTGAAATATAAAAATAATTTGGAAAGATGCTAAATGTCCTACATTAATGAGTTGCAAGAGTCATATTGGATATCCACATATTCAGAAACCAGTAAAAATGGTATTTCAGAAATATAATTATTGACATAAAACGGTGATAAAAATAAACATCTTTCTGTTTATCTGTGCTTTCTGATTTTTCTACAGCATGTAGGTGGAAAGGAATGTGAATTACATGGGAAGAGCAATCTAGTATATCTGCTTTCTTTTGTGATGAGTTGGTGACTGTGGGTTAAGTCAATGGTAATGATGGATATGACATCAGTTTCCACCTCTTTGTTCTGGAAGCCAACCTAGAATGGGAGGGGGCAGGGCACTGACCTATCATACACTCTTGGCTGTCTGTCGAACTACTCACCAGCCTAAACATGGGCAGGGCTGGTGGCCCAGGGTCTCAGACTGTGTGATGTGCTTTGAATCTCCCTTATATTAAGTCTGGCCTCTTCTGTGAAGCAATCTTACTTTTCTCAAAATATCTAAAGCTGTGGGCTTTTTGTTTGTTTGGGGTGTTTTTTTCCTCTATGAAATGAAAGTGAGAAGAAGTAAAGCTTTCTTTGGAGCTTAATGAAGAGAATTCAAGAAGATAAAAATGGTAACAGAGGCAGATAATCCTTAGAAAGAGATACAAAGAGGTCATGGGTTTAGGTATTCAGTTTGTCTGAGATTTGTAATCTCTGTCAAAGCTGAAAGGTGTCTGTTTCTTGAGACTCTGCCTTTCTTCAGACCCTCCGTGTTTGCTATCACTACAGGTGCCAAGGATCAGGAATTACTTGCTTTTCCTTTAGTTGAGGCTGAATTTTGCTGGCTTCACAATGAAGCTTGCTCCATTTTGTTCTATGATTATCAAATATGGGGAATGTCTGAGTGATCTCCTCTTATTTGAATGGACTGCCAGGCTATCTCCCGACCCCTCACCTGTAGACCGAATCACAGCATCTGTCACCTTTCCTCCTAGGTTCTTTCCCCCCATTAAGAATTTCTTCTCAGAATCCTCTCCGGTTTTTCCACTTCCTTCAAAAATATGAAATCCAGAACTAGATACAGCTCTTGAATAATGGCTGGGTCATTAACAAAAAAGATGCTACTTTTTAGTTTCCACTTATAACATCAACCACCACTAATGAGTTCCAGGACGCTGGCATAGAAGCCATATAAAATCATCAGTTTAGAGATGCCTGGGTGGCTCAGTCGGTTAAGCGTCTGCCTTTGGCTCAGGTCATGATCCCAGGGTTCTGGGATCGAGTCCCACATCGGGCTCCTTGCTCAGCGGGAAGCCTGCTCTCCCTCAGCCTGCCGCTCTCTCTCTCTCTCTCTCTGGCAAATAAATTAAACAAAATCTTAAAAAAAAAACAAAACAAAACACCAGTCAGTTTGCTCTACTACCAGGGAATGCTGAGAAGGCATGATGATGACGATGATAATGATGACAGAGAAATTTTTAATTAGTGCTTGTATTAATCATATATTTTTATTCCATATTTTTGATGCTTTGATCTCTTGGGTCCTTGTGACCCAGGAGAGATTATATTTCCCAGGGCTTGCTAATTCTTAGAGATTGCAAACAACTTGCCTGGGAGCACACTTTTCACAGGCAAACCAACTAATCCAGAGCCCATATACCCAACTACCTCCTCTATGAGGCTCTCACACTCTGAGCCACTCCTGTCCCCTGCCCATTTTATCCCAGGACCAGGTACCAGGCAACTACGATGGCCCTAGACTCCAGGGCTGGCTAAAACTAGTCAACCTTAAATCTGCTTACCCTGCCTTGCCCATTCCTTACTAAGGGAAGTCACAACAAAGTCTCCTATGCATATTTTCCCCTTCTCTCTACCTAACTGATCCCGCTGCTTCCCACTGTGGCCCTTCCTGTTTCTAGGGACCTGTGAGCATAAAGCCTTCTTCCTTCATGACATTTTTGTGTCTGTGTGTCTTGCCTACCTGATTAAAACTAATCCCAGGTATCGTTAAAACAGTGCTTACTATGTGTCAGGTGCCCCTGTGCTTTATGTGGATGATATCCTGTAATTCTAAAGTATGAGGAAGGTACTACCATTTCCTTCGTTTTTGGTACAGTGACCTTCTCAGAGCCCCACCTCTAGCATGGGGTAAAGGCAGGATATGAATTCATGGGCTTAATTCTAGAACGCACACTTTTATCCTTTTTATTTTTCTGCTGCCCTTGCGTGTCAAAAGGATTCCCACTTGGTTGTTCTCAGAGAGGGCAACCATTAAATTAGACAAAGAGACAGGTATGAATAAAGTAGCAAGACTGATCTGCTCTGAAATTGCTGTTTTCCTTCAGGTTAGCCCTGTTAGCAGGCCTAAAAGGCCACTGCCCAGATATTTTACAGATTCTTCTCCTACAGCCTGATGTGGGCTGGAGTCACATGAGAAAACCGGTCTCATGAGCTCACCGTTTTCCCTCATCTCTGACCAGAGCCATTAGGTCTCCTTTTATTCACCTTATTTATTTCTAATTTATTTGGGTTCACTTGGAAAACAAATAAAACAGTAACAACAACAACAAACTTCCGTCAAGGACACAGCATCACTAAAGACCTCTATCATGAGAGGTGTCTGAGTAATTATGCCATAAATTGCAAGGCAAATCCATGAAGCATTCCACATGGGCTTTGAGCACCGAGGCTGGAACTAAGGTCTGGCTTCCATGCTGTCAACTTGGAAGAGACCTATACTTCTTTAGATGGCTCAGCTTTGAAGGGTTTGGGGAAAGTAGGTGAGCAAATAGACACACCTTGCTCTTCACAACACCATTTATTCTATACTGAGTCAGCTGAGCAAGTGCCTGCTGAAAGTTCTGGGAGCGGCCAAGATCCAGAGAAGAGATCCTGCTTTTGGACTGAGGCAACAGAGTCATGCCCACAAGGAGAGTTATCACATACCATGTGGGATGGGTCAAGTGGGGTTATAAGGTGAGAGCTATGAAGGGGGAGAGAGAGAGAGGGTAAGCCTGTGTGACTCACATAAACCCTGAACTTTACATTTCAGACAGAATGAGGGCTTGGTCTTCCTTCTCTCTCTCTCTTTTGTTCTTTCTCTTCATTTCGGCATTCCTGGTGATTTCTCAGGGGCTTAAGGATTTGGGAAGTTAAACTAAAATACTTAAGGCTAATGAACACATTAAGAGGGAGGAGGATTAGAGGAGCAAGAAGGATGAGGAAGAAAGGTAGAAAATATGGTAGGTATCTTCCCACCTAAAGGTAAACATATACTCATAAATGCAGAAGCAGGATCTCTACTGACTGGGGAGCAATCCTGAAAAGGGTCCCAGTGAGAAATGAGTGAGCTCAGATACAAGTTCTAGGGGTTGGGGAGTCTGAGGCCAC